TTGCTTGCATGTGACATGAGTGACAAGGTTCTGTAGTTTTCGCATTTCCTAGTAGATCCTTTCTTGTGCAGCGGGACAATAGCAGATTGTGTCCAGTCTTCTGGCCACTGACCCGTTCTCCAGATCTTATTGCATATCCGGTGGATGATCTTGGTCCCTTCACAACCTAGGTGCTGTAGCATTGCCGCAGATACGCCATCAGGACCAACCGCCTTATGCTTCAATCTTTTGATAGCGTCTTCTACCTCAGAAAGCAGTATATCTGGTTCTCTGACGTGATCATCCCACTTCCTTTCAACACCGAGTCCATCTTCTTCCCTATAGAGTTCATAACAGTAGCTCCTCCATCTCTCCAGAACTCCATCGAGCTCTGTCAAGGTGTTACCTCTGCTGTCATCTATGATCCAACTCTTAGGATTGACGGTACCTGTAAGTTGTTTAACTTTTAAGAAAAAATCTTTTGTTTGCGCTTTGTCACAATGTATCTCCATTTCATCTCATAGATTGTTGATGTATTGGTCTCTGTCTCTCCGGGTGGAATTTTGAACTTCAGCATGCAGCTGGTTGTAACGATTCTGGCTACTGACAGTCATAAGACCTTCCCTTTTAAGCATCTTCCTCTCCTCAATTAACTGCCAGGACTCTTTGCTTATCCACTCTTCCTTTTTAGTCACTGTTTTAAAAAGTTCTCTACTCTCTTTCGCGGTATCTAATATAAGTTTCTTGAGAGAAGTCCATTCACCTTTACCAGAGTCGAAAGGATCCCATTCTAGTGACTTGATCTTAATGTCAATGGTTTTGTGAAAAAGGTCTAGAGCCGGTTTATTAAGCACATGGGTCTTTTGGGGTTTAGGTTGAGTACTTTTTAAGCGAAGTCTAAAATCAGCCATTAGAAGTTGATGATCACTGCCGCAATCAGCGCCAGGGAGAGTTTTGGCATTGGTGACTGAAGATCGCCATCTGGATTTTATTGTTATAAAATCTATCTGGTTTCTATGGCCTTGAGGAGAAGTCCAGGTGTATAATCTCCTTGGATGATTTTCGAACCAGGTGTTCATGATAGTAAATTGATTTTCCACGCAATATTGAAGAAATTTTTAACCTCTTTCATTTCGAATGCCTAGACCATAGTCACCTACAGTTGTGCCTTTGAGTGGATCTCCCCTAGTGCTTCCAATTTTAACATTCAAATCCCTGCAGAATAGTTACCTCCCTAGATGGTATAGTGCGTAATAAGGAATCGAGATTGGCATAAAATTGGTCTGACACATTCTCATCTGACTGAGCGGTAGGTGCATATACCTGAATTATATTCATTGGCACGGGCCTTGCATCAAACTTAATGGAGATCATTCTGTCGTTTGGAGTTGTGTATCCCATGACACTGCTTTGTAGCTTTTTTGGAACGATAAAGGCTACTCCATTACTACTGCTGTCTTTAGGACCTGTGTAGTACACAGTATTGCCATTATTTGTAGGGAAATGACCATTGCCGCGACGATGCACTTCACTGAGGCCTAAGATGTCAATATTGCACCTATCCATCTCTCTCTCTACAATTTCAAGCTTCCCTGGCTTTAGAATCCCTCTAACATTTCAAGTCCCCATGCGAAGATGTTTACGTAATGGGGTTTTTGCAGTGCCTGTACCATGACCAGTAGCATTGTTTCCACCTGTCTGGTGGTCCGCAGTCAAGTGGCCGGTAGTATATTTCACACCAATCGACCCGGAATCGCATTGGCGCCGAGGGTCAGTCGGGCCGCACGACATCGTGACTCTATTCTGGATACTTTTCATGCGGTTTTCTTGAGAAAAATAGTGCAGTAGTTTCCCGTTGCTTTCTGCACCAGACATTTTTGAGGTTATTTAAGCCTCAAGGCCGCTGAAGCCTCTTCCGGATGGTTCTCCTCCCGGGTTTATGGTTATACCGCCATGGCACGGTCGCCAGAGCCTCGTCCGTTATCTAGCTGGGAGCACCACGATGGTTGTGAGGCCACCGTCGTCAGCTATTCTAAAGAACCACCGACGCGAGCAGGAGAGGTTGACATTTGGGCCGGTTCAGATGTTGTTACCCTTACCCCTTACCCCCCTAATTTCTTTCTTTAATTAGATGTATTAGAAGCGCTGAATATTATGAATGAATGAATGAATAATTTTTTTTTTGTTATTTATGAACATTTTTTTAATGTGGACGATGTAATTTTATTTTGTGTACGGCTTTTTTAGGAGTTTTCATTTGGGTTGATTATATATTATTATTAAACCGTGTCCCGCAAGCACACAAGTTCGTTTCAAAAGTATACGACGCATTTATGAATGACTACCTCTTTATCAACAAGTTTATTTTTAAGGAATAGAAGGCCAATTTTTCTTTAAAAAAGTTTGTTTTTATTTCAATTAACGATTATACTACCGAGTCTGAACCTCCTGTGTGAATTTGGGCACCTTTATAAAAGCCACATTGTATAATATATGATAATAAAAAGCAACGAAATGTTACGAACTAAAAAGAATTTTGCAAATCCGTCTATATCTGACGAAGATATGGCCGAACATCCCTACATAAAAAATATAAACATCCGAATTGATAACCTCCTTCTTTTTGAAGTCGGTTAAAAATAAGTACCTCCTTTTTACTTGTATCTATGATTATAAAAATTAAATTATAACTTCTTATCACTTGACCACGACTACATGACCCCCCCCTGGCACCAAAGCTGGATCCGCCCTTGGTCGAGGAAGGGGTCTTAGATACGTTGGACCCACCGCCGGGGGTCCCGCCGGATAACACTACACCCACAGCTAGTGTAACAACAAACACAATAGTTCGCCCTCGCCTCCGAGCACGGCGAGACCATCACAATGCGTACACAAGGTACACCCGCGTTCCAGGGCGGTTCTCACCGCCCCCAGCCACCGATTAGCTAAAACACAGTCGACGGCCATCGGGGTCTCGGTCCGCACCGCAACTTCGATGGCCCTTAGACGACATGTCGTAGTTAAACGCACGCATGAGCACATGCGCGGCCCTACCCACAGCGGAGGGCCCAAACCCGTGAGTCCTGGCTAGCCCACCGGTTCTGCGTCAGATGAAGCTTTAATAGTCTCGGGACTGAAAGCAAAAACATCAGTTAATACAAGATACAAGAAGACACATACAGCCGGTTTCTGAAACACTGATCCAAAGAGAATGTAATCACTACGTTTACTGCACTGATCATCATAGATGTCAACTAATAAGCCGTCAAATGGCTTTTCAAATTTCATTTTAGTTGCCAAAAGGATGGTTAAACTCTTTGGATTGATCGTTCTGATTATTAGAAGATCATTCTGGTCAATTCAGAGAGTTTAACCAGCCGATAGAGGATAACGTTTTAAAATTGTATTAAACATGTACATTCTTTAAACATCAATATTTACCGAGTTATTACATTTTCCAAAACAAACAATTTTAAAACACCCTTACGTATAAAACTGTAAAGTTCATTTGTAAAGGTCACAAAGCATATGAATGAATTTAAAAGAGATAAAACATTCTGTTAGAAGGACAGATTCGTATTGCGACGCTATGGCAACGAATGAAAAAATTTCTAAATCTATGAATCAGTCAGTTGTAGTTGTATAGGATGTTTAATTTTTTTTATAGTGCTAATATCTGCACTTAAGATTGAACATTAAAATTTGTAGAAAAAGTACGAAAACATTATCGCCGTTGTAGGAATCGAACCCACGTCTTCGGCATTCGCGGCCTGACGCTCTAGCCACTAAGCTAAAGGTCGGTGTGGCAATCAGCCGTTTAGCTTAGTGGCTAGAGCGTCTTTTATTATATGTTTGAATTTTTTTTGTTTTAATTATGGATTTTTTTAACGTTTATATTTTTTATGACTATTGGCGATTGGTATATAGACGTGTGTTCATTTATTGTCGCGGTTGTAACGACACGCGCTATATGTCTATTTGTTTCATTATGTGGATGTTATACCAACATTTTTTGTTTTATTGTTGCAAATAGTATTTCACTCTAGGTAAAGATTATTAAATGAACTCTATAAAACATGTTATGTTCTAAATATAAAATTGTGTCCCCGATCGAAAATATCGTGAGTTAACCAGCATATTTTAGAAATCAAAAATGTATTTCGAAGATGGGGACTGCTGGGCCAAGGCCTCCTGTCTACAGAGGGTATTAAGGCAAAGTACACGATGGGACCCCACGGCGGATTGGCAGACTTCACATATTTCCGATATATTTTTTTGTTATTATTTCGAAAATATGCAGGTTTCCACACTATGTTTTCCTTCACCACGTGATAATTCATGACTTAAAATTAACAATTTCATTGGTGCTGGCAACGGTACATTTAATTGGAAAAAAACAAACAAAATATATACAGATAAATGTCGAATCAAAATATATCGGCTAAAGTATCGGTATATTAAATGAAAAATATCGATATATCGATAATTTTTGGTAATCCATAACTTGGTGGATGCTAGACTCATTCATTAAATCTCGTCTCTAATCCAGAATTCAATTCATTTCGCCATATGCATATCATGATAGTAATCTGTGCATTTCGCTGACTTAATCAACAGTATCGGAAGTAAGGAATGTAAAATCACAATGTTTTACTATAAGTCCGAATTCGGACCTTGTGTAGCTATTTGTTCATTAACTGTTTTCATTTGATTAAAATATTCGATTCGATATCCCTTAAAGGCGTAATTAAAAATACTACTCTGACGCGGATCTGATGAGCCGGTGATCTTTGGAACTGTGGAATGAAAATACCGCACAGTAGTGAATGAGTTCAATTCGTTTACTGAGTGTAAGCAGTTTATCGGAACGAATCACTCACGAGTTACTCAACTCTAGTGAACCTGCACTGTACACTCTACACTGGCAACATTGTCATTTATCTTTATCTTTACATAAAATTACATACAACAAGAGCAGTCTGAGTGCGATACCTTTATTTTTAATTGTGTAAAATTTTAAAATGTATACTGTCTCAAAAGGACCCAGTAAGATAGTGGCAAAAACTCGAAGAGGTAAACGACGATAAAAGTAAATTAAAACTGCTGCAAACCAGCCTTCACTTATCAATTATCAAATTGAAAATTTTGGTTCACAGGTCTGACCCAAAATTTAGAACGATTAGACAGCCGTAAAGATCATAACAGAAAATCTTCAGACTCGGACAATGGAGAAGTTCTTAAGTAAGCAATAATTTTAATATGATGCAATGTTAAAGTTAATAATATTTCATCACTGCTTTTACATAACCTCCTCTAAGCTGTTTTCAACTCCTTATAATTTTAGAAGCCAAATGCGCTTTAGGACCTTATGTAGTTTGTTGTATTATTCCACAATCTAAGAGTGCTGATTGATTTTCTCCATAAACCTTAAAGTAAACTTCTCTTACAGCATGCCTAAACCAGTATTCCATTCCAATGGCAAAAAGACAATCCATCAAAGAATACAGCACCATGTTATTACACCGCAGCACGAAGAAATCATTAGATATATAAGCGAAAGTAAGTTTTTTATTGTATATTATTGTGAAATTAGTTATTACTTAACTATTCAAGCCATCATTTCATTCAACAGTCTATCATTTTGAATTATAACACAATTGCACTTTTTCTTAATCTCCATAAAAATATTTAAATATGAGACCTTGGATAAAAATATATGTACCTAAGCTATTCTTTTAGACTAAGCTTTTCTTTGATGGTATATAAATGTCATTATATAAAAGGTAATTTTATTGTCATGAATTTTATACAAATATAAAATACAATAATATGTCATCAATAACAGAGCTAGCCTTTGTATTATGTTTTTATTCAATTGTATATTACAAAATGCAAATGTCAGCTTTTTATTTATGGTATAATTGAAAAGTCCTTGTCTAGTTCTACACTTATAAAACACAAGTAACCTTGTCAATACATTTACTTTATGCAAAATGAATAGAGTTTAACATTATTTCTGATGAACATTTTACAATTTCCTATGTTCAGTAGTGGACTTAGGCTGATGTGATTATGATGACTTCGGTTTAAAGATTTTATTTCCCAAAAGAACATTACATAGTTCACTCAGATGAGAAACTTAACTAAATTATTTACAATAAAAGAAAGAGAGAAAGTTATAAACAAGGTGGAGTTCGATTTGCCGTAGCTATAAAGTTATAAGTTATTAATTAAGTATGTCATCAAAGTATTTTTAAAGGCATTAATGGATACAGATTATAATGAATTACTATTTTATACATTATTTGCATACATAGATATTATTAAAAATCAATGTTACCTATTAACTGATTTCTATAGTGTAAGAAATATACATTTTGAAAAAGTAGGGTAAAATAACTGGCAGGGTCACACAACAGTGTTTTCTGTTACAAGAATGGGTAGGATCAACTGCGGAAGTATCACAGACTCACAGAAGACCGCCGTGAATTGGAAGTGTTGTAGTTCTGTGTTGCATCTGGTGAGTGAGGCAGCTGGGTCCCTCTTTATTAAAAGGTGGCAACACATCTGCCACCCTACAGGTGTTGCAAATGTCCATGGATGGTTATATTGGTTTATAAACAATAGTGAATTTCTAAAAATACTGCTATGGCAGCTATATACTATACAGCTCTTAAGTATGTATGGCCGTAGTAAAAAAACTAGTCCAGTTATACTTTGTTTCGGATGAATTAAATATTACTTTTATACAAGTTTTCCAATTTTTTTTCTAATTTTCAATATATTGACCATAGTGGTGACTTGAAATTAAACATCACCTTTATACTGATGTAAATAGGGTCTTAACATTTATTTCTTGTCATTTACTCAGTTCAATTACTATAATTATTTTGTTCAAGTTACTCAGTGAGTATTCACTTGGTTCATTTAAATGTTAATATGGCATCATTATTTATTGCAGCTTGGACACAAACAGCAAATGGAGACAGTGAACCATCAACACCCACTAGTCCAATTGGTAAGTGTGTAAATACCAAGGGTGTTAAAAAATGAACTAAATGATAATGATATTATGACCATGTATGAGCTACAACATATAGTCTTTACAAGATAGAGTTAACATATATTTTTCAAATTGAACAACTTAAAATTATAAGTCAAAATTTCCATTTTTAATATATTCTTTTGGTTGGTTGGCAGATGTTACATGTATCGATAGTAGGCATATGTTATATTTTGTCAATCAATGCACTTAATCATACATACGCAAAAATCTTAATAATATTATTATTATCTTATCATTTTAGGGTCAGGTAATTCTTCACCAGCCCCACCAACAAATCTTTATTACCATGATGATGCACCAAGCCCAGTTCTGCATGACTTCAAGCCATTCGATCTTGAGACATGGTGGGGCAAAAGACTTTTCCAGAACATTACCAACTCCCTTTGAGTCTCGCCCAAGTGGCGTTTTTGATTGGGAACATCAAATTTTACAGTAGCGTAAGTCACAATCAATTGCAGTTTACTAAATTTTATATAAATTTTACATGATATATTTTTATGATGCCATTTTTGCAGCCATCTCTGTATCGAATTTATGATCTGTTATCATCGCTTTATCACCATGTCAATGTGATTGTGTAATAAATCACAATTGTTAATATCATACATAAGCTTATGTAAGTCTTAAATGTTTATGAACATATTATATAGTTAGCCATTTCAAGTTTAGTAACCTACAGTTGATTGTGGATCTCAGTAGATTACACCTGTATTATAACATAAGAAACAAATTTCCAAGGCTCAATATACTTTGCAAGCAGTTGTGCTGCAAACCAATATTCTTTAAGATTGTTTTATGGTGACCAAGCATTTTTGTTTTTAATATTTTATTTAATGTTGTTAGACTGCAGTATAATATTGATGCCCAATCACAATAGTACCAAATAATTGGTACAAATTGTTAATTATTGCTAAATCTTATACAAAATACTGTGTACATTGTCTTTCAATGTCTTGTTTTTTTTAAAATAGTTTTGCAATTAATGCTGTATATAAATTCTGTTACTAAAAAATGAAAAACTGATGAGTTGTAATTTTTTGTTGACACATTTTAAGAATTATATTATGTTAACATACAATGTGCCTATGAGGACAAAAAAAGTTTTAAAAAGTCGCATTATAATACATAAAATAGTATAAAGCCACCACATCAGAAGAAAAGATTTTTGAGTATGGATTTATAAATAATAGAATAATTACGGATTTTTATATAACATTATTTAATGTTCAAGCTAAATGGCTTATCATCTTGTCTGACTAAATAAATATTTATTACATAAGAGAGATGCCTTAGAAAAAAAAATATTTAAAAAATATTGCAAGCTGAATGGGTCATGTGCAATTATGTTGTTTTTCCTTTTTTGTGTAAATTGTGTTCTATTAAAGATTTTATTCAAACATTTTTTTCAGTTGCAGCTAATAAGACTAACCTTAAAAATAAAATTTAATGTTACCTATTGACAATATCTCGCAATTTCGTTATATGTGAAAAAAATCATTGAAGTGATTTATTTCATTCATTGTTATTCATACACTAGTGCACTTGTTAATTTATTAGCAATTGGTCTCAAAGCAAATATGTAAACTGAAATAATTAATGTACAAGATTTTATTAAAATATTGTGTACAGGGAAGCATGATCATTTCCGTTCCTGTCAATAGTTCATGTTAATAAAACTGTTTATCATGTTGTTTTCATAAATTTTTACTAATGTTATTGCCAGTATGTTTACAAAGAATTAGTAATTGTTAGGCATAATTGATAGCTTTATACAAAGTATGATTGTTTTTTCAAATATTAATTAATAATAATTCTTACATAGCTTTTGATGCCTGAAAAGTAACAATGTCTTCCATAAAATTAAATAGCACTGTATATAAATCTTTGGAATATTGGTTTTGTTACATTGTGTATGCAGCATGAAAGCATTACAAACATGCCTATGATAATGAATTCATGTATGAGTCACTATTATTTATTTGATCATGCTTGTAAATCAAAATCAAATATATTAAACAACTTTTTAAAGATTAAAGAGAAATATTGTATTATGTTCACACTGTCCCCGCAACTGTATTGTTATATATAAGGGCAAAAAATGTGAAGGTGATTAGGGTCCTTCTAGGTGGAATACTTCATTAAGTAGTGAAATTACTGGAGTTAGAATATTTTTAGACTGATTTAGTTGTTAAAAGTTATGCTTTATGTTGTAGTTGAATAAACCATCTGACATTGTTTTTTTTTTGTACTTTTTATTTGCCCGATTACATTTTATGCCAAAACAAAATTTATGTCAGAACAGAAACCTATTTGTCAGATGTCTGTCATATTTAAGTTTATCTTATTAACTACAAAACTGGAAAATAAAAGGATCCGTGCGGCATGGCAAACAGTTGCGTTATACCAAATGTTTTAAAAAGATCGAAATTTGATAATAACTCTGTAAGTTTAACAGTTATACTTTGAAAAAGTTACGCAACCTAAAGATGTTTCACTTTTCATCAAACCATGCATTCAAAATTCTATGCCTGGTGAACGTTTTTCAAAAATTTTACTAGTAGTTCATTAGATGTAAATTAAATGACAAAAGAGATTGCTGTAGGACTTTTATTAATTTTAAATTTGTGTATGTACTTAATCAAGGATACGAACTAATTTGAACGAGTGAATAATTTTGATATGAGTATTCTTTAAATTGTTTCTGATAGAACAAGTCGATTATGTATTGAAGAAAAAGAAGCAATATAATTTACGCTTTTAAAACATGAATTATTAGTTTAAAACCGGAATCTTCCATTTTCCTAACAAAGCCGTTGACTTATCTGCGTTCTTGCTTAATCTTCCAGTTTTATAAAATTTACATCAATAATTATTTAAGGTCTTATATTAACACCTGCGGACCCGACTGACGTCCTGTAAATTGTCCTTAAATCCTAAAATTCCAAACTTTGAATAAGTTTGTGGGTCCAACCCATTCTCGAATCGACCTGAAGACACAAAAAATTTCATTAAGATCGGTCTAGCCGTTTAGGTGGAGTTCAATGACATACACACCTACAGAAGAAATATATATATAATGATAAAATATAGAAAATATATAAAAATATAATAATAATATAAAAATATAATAATATAAAAATATATAAAAGAAATATATATAAAATGATTACACAAACATTTGTTGGTTGCATTTACAGATGAACATTTTACAACGTAAGAACATTTTAAATGGTTTGCACAACGCACTTAATATTCTTTATGGGTTGGAACGATGTCTTCGGAAATCTAGCAAGTATGAAAAAGAATTGTTTAGGTGCAAATCGTCACACAGACACGCGCACAGCTTTGATGGATGGTGGCAGAATGATCCTGTTGAAGAAAAAGACCCACAATTTTCTCAAATAGGTACCTAAATTAAACCACAGTTTACATTTCAAAAATGTGTGATGGAAATCGACAAACTAAAACCAGGAATCTATTATTATGGACGTACAATAATTTATTAAAGCAGTCCTTATACGATGTGTGTACTTATACGATGGCCCTTTTATTTTGTTAAAGTTCTTTAAGCTCTAATTACAATGCGATAGTAGTCGTGTCCATAATCAAATTAAATTTGAATATCAATGTACAATGTATTTATATACTTTTTATAGGTAGTATAGAATATCATTGCTCTCTCTTCTGGACGATTGTGTCTCGTAAAAGAAAGTACCTGGAGGACTGAGCTTTGCTCGGTTTGTTTTTCTTTTTTTGGTAAATCGTGTATTTTGGAAATTACATTTGGATACAAATTACTGAATAATGAAATATGCATAACATTTTTCGATCTTACCGACGTAACAATAAGAAAATATGAACTGGTGTTTTTCACAAAAGAAATAACTTTAAAAAAAGGGAAAATACTAACAAAATAACAAATCGACAAAAAATAAAAAAGATAGAAAGCAATGATCTGGAATCGAAAAAAAAGTAAAAAAATAAGTGTGTAAATGATGATGACACGAACGACGGCCATCTGTTTCGGGGCCGCCCGATTACCGACCGAGCTATTATAAAAATTTTTTATTCAGTGAAGTTTACCGTCGTATTCGAATGATATTTTTCAGGAATGAAAAATATCATTCGAATACATATATAATTGGGATATTATTATATATTGATTAGATATATATATATATTGGAATACATATACAAAACGAGATTATCTAAAAATGAAACCTAGCCAGATCGATTTTTTGCCCCCGAATCTACGCACATACTAAATGTCATGAAAATCGCCGATTCAGAGATTCCGATTGTATACAGCGTGTCTTTACAATCGCGACAATAAATGAACACACATATAGGGGATAACTTTTTAAAATTGTATTCATTTACATTCTCTAAACATCAATATTTAAAGAGTTATTAAATTTTCTAAAACAAAGAATTTTAGAACACTGTAACGTTAAGTTCATTTGTAAAGGTCACAAAGCATACGAATGGGTTGAATGAATTTAAAAGAGACAAAACATACTGTTAGAAGGAGAGGCTTGTAATGCGACGCTGTGGCGCGAGTTGTATAGGATGTTACAAATTTTGTTTCTTTTTTAATTAGTTTGTTTGAAAAATATTGTTTTTTTTACATTATGGATTTTGTTTAACGTTAAATTTTTTTTATGATTATTGGCAAGTAGCGTTAGATTTATTGTCGCGATGGTAACGACACGCTGTATATATACAAGAATTGCTCGTTTAAAGGTATGCGATATATAATACATATAATACATAAAGGTATGCAATATATATTACATATACTTAATAAGATTACAATAAAGTTTAATTCCAGTGCCCCTCGGGGTTTTGCGAAGAATATACCTACGTTCATATTTATGATAATATAATTGTGTAAATTCTGAAACTTACTTTTCATTTAGACTTTACTGGTTTGGTGTCTTACACCATGATAAAAGGCGCCCCTGATCAGCAACTACGCACTCGTCAGATAAAACGGCAAAAGTACAACAATTCACACCAATCTTCAGTGGCGCCTTGGTAAACCCACGCACGCCTGCCTACCACACTAATAACTTTTGTATGTCTGCTTTAAGATAAGAAAACATCATCCAGAAGCCAGGTCGATTTGATGGAGTCATGGTCCACTATGAGCATCGTATGCATGCAATACCAGTAAGTTTTAGATTTTGCGATTAACAAGTGATCATTCTTATTAATGCCTACTCCATTGCTTCGTGGCAGTCTGTGCGGGGGAGGCCTATTCCCAGCCTTGGATTAAAAGAGGCTGAAATGACGGTGATGATGATGATGATGATGATGATAAATTATATTATAAGAAAATTCAGCGTTGAACTAAGACTTATCACTTGTAATTTCTATTTCTCATTTCTTGTTTTAAGGTTTTTCTTACATTTAACCTTGTTTTGAATCCACTACATTTCGAGCTTTACGGCATCCCTGGCACTTTCTGTTCTATCAAATAGTTTTATTCAATGACATTTAATATATAGTTAGACACTCCAATATTACAGCACTAAAACAGAACAATCTTGACGACCCAATTTGCGTAGTGGGTAGTGCACCTGCCTCTTGCGTCAGAGGGTTCATATACGTTTAATATGTATTTATTTACAAAAGAAAAGTATGTTTAAGTATGTTTATCGCTATCTATTACCCATAGTACAAGCGTTGCTTAGTTTGGGACTAGAGAACGTTGTGTAAAAATGTGTCCTAAAATGTTTATTTACATTTATAAACTATCAGGAAAACCACCAACGCAGACATGTATACAATAGACGAAGAGAGAGATGTTAATATCAGTTTTCCGTCGACTGGGTTGGCGAGGCATTCTGACACGCTCTTTTACAGAAGTAATGTGTCGCTTATTTCAAAAATGCCTCTACTCTAGATACGAAGAGTTGTCAAAGCGTTACGAAGCTCTGCTGCAAGCGTACGACGAAAGGTGCGGTGCCATAAACGAGCGGGACAGAACCATCGCGCGAATGCAAAGTCGAATGACAGCCATTGGCGCGCAACTCGTTCGCGCGCATAAATCTCTTCTGTCGGTTGGCGAAAAATATTTGACACTGCGACGTAAACACCTGATTCAAGTGAGCTTAATGCTAGACTGAAAATTTAATATCGATTCCTTTTTTTGGGGTTCCGCACCCAATTTGTAAAATGGGACCCTGATGCTAAGCCTACGCTGTCTGTCTGTCCGTCTGTCACCGGGCAGTATCTCATGAACCGTGATAGTTAGATTAGATTTTTACAGATGATGTGTTTCTGTTGCCGCTATAACATTAAATACTAAAAAACAGATTAAAATGCAATATATATTACATATACTTAATATAATTTAAGGGGGCTCCCATACAACAGACATGATTTTTTTTGCCGTTTTTATAGATAATGGTACGGAACATTTCGTGCGCGGATCCGACCCGCGTTTCGTTATGGAAAAAAATTGCAAAGGAGCTAGTGCATCCTATGTTAATATTTGATTAAGATCATTATGGATTTTCCCGTTTGCACTAGCATTACCAACTGACCTTTAAGAGAAGTGAGTCCGGTTACATCAAACACCAGACAAAACGCAATAGTATTAATAGATAATTAATTATGCCTTATCACTTGCAGGGCGTTAGTACTTCACGGGACTATGCAACATCAGAATCTGCGGCGTAGTTATTACGCAATTATATTTTTTTTATATGAAATGTTGGCAATCGAGCAGGCGGTTGACCTGATGTTAAGTGATAACCCTCGTCCACGGACATTTGGAACACCGGTTGCAGGTGTGTTGCCACGTTTTAATAATGTGAGCCCCGGCTACCTCCTCACCAGACGAAATGCAGAAGTGTTACATTTCTACTTTATGCCGGCCGGTCTTCTGTGAGGTCGTGGTACTAACCCGGACACAAGATGTTAAGTGATAACTTAACTCCAGCTCGTTTGCCACTTTCTAAAATAAAAAAAATAATATTACATTTTGTACAGAAACAATTGTACGAAGAAAGACTAGAAACGGTAAAAAGTTTCATAGAAGAAATGACTCCAGAAGAACAAAGAATCGATCCCGGTCTCGAGTCTGAACACGAAGTGGACACGAATTTGCTCATGTCTCAGGTAAACAAAAACCCAAATATTTTTACGTCTTGATCCATTTTTGACGATTGACTGGAACGTTGTTATTTCCTACTTCAAATAAACTTTGCTTTAGACAACTTTAATTAAAATGTAGTTTTTGATTTCATATACAATAAGAGTTACATTTTATTTGCTATTTAAACAATTAAGTATTATCGATTACGACTTATTTGTAGATCCATAAATGTAATACACTTTTTCTGGAGAATCTTTATTTGAAAACGCAAATGGAGGACGCAGTCGCTTTAGGAAGCTTTTAATGAGTACCAATACCTTGCTATTACTTAAGAAAGATTTATAATGTTTTATAATAGATAGTTTACTTATTTATAGTTGACAGTTTTATGATAGCTATTTTAGAGTTACGTTTTAGTTGTTTGAAATTTTTTCATAGACTTAAGTTTATTTTATAATTAAAATTCTCGGTTTTTGTTGAAGTATTTTATTGATTTTCAATAACACAATACAGCCAGTACTACACAATTTGACATAATTTTGTGCTTTTCCATATTTACATAATCTTTCCACCTAATGTTAAAATAAACTCGAATTTGACGCTCTCCATACCTTTAACAAAATAATCATCACAGTAGTTATTCATCTTGTGTACGTTTTTATATAACATTCCATCATATCACAACATTTATCATAACATTATTTTTGTTCTTTGTGAAAAGGCATTTTTGAAGAAACATTATTCACCACTAAATTAGAATTAAAAAATGTCATTTACTTCTTTACGTACAAAAATTACACATCTTAAAAAAAATACATTTATTGAATACAATATGAAAGTGAGTGAAATATGCAATATTTTAAGTTAATAATTAATTAGGAAACTCGTAATAGCTTTTTAATAGACGGTCCTGCGAGTAGCTACATAATATATGAATGAAAACTATTATCTCTTAACACTGCTTCAAATTAAGAAATAAAATTTCTAATATAACAATATTTTCAATAACCCAATTTATAATACTATTAATTTTACAACAAAATATCGATTGATCGACGCGTATAAAATACAACTAGAGACATTATACTCTTAATTTAGCAATTAGCTCACCTGCTACTGAGAGTTCATAGCTAGTTGTCGGTATACCGTCACAATCTAGTTCACGTACACAGCATGCAGCTGTCTAATCTCCTCAACCATGGAGTCGAGGATTAACGACAATTGCTCGGGTGTAGGTATCAAGCTGGCGTCTGCCATCGCTGAGAATCTGAGAGCACCGCCGTAATACAAGGCAGATACTCCCAATCCTGGAATTGCATACAGTATTATTTAGTTCAACATTTAACTAGTTGTGGCGGCAATTTACAGTGGTAGGGCAGCACAGCAGTTAGTTGCACGAATGGGTAAACTTATCCTGGGATGTGCCACGGCCTCACAGTAGGCAATTGTATTTTCGCTTTGCATCCGGTGAGTGGGGCATTCGGGCCCACTTTTTAAAAGGTTGCCAATGTGTCTACAACCCCTCAGGTGTTGCAGATATCCATGGGCAGTGGTGATTCCTTAAAATCAGGTGAATAGCCTGCTCGCTTGATAACTTTTCAGATAAAAAACATTTGCATATAGATTGGTATATTTCTTTTCAATATATCTTTTATTTAAGCAGCAAAGTCAAGGTAGAACAGTCATTTGTAAACACTTTTACAGAACGACATGTTAATTATTTTTGACTGATTCATTTGTGAGGGTTCCCCTTATCCCGATAACGTAATATTTACATAATTTTATTATGGTCTGACTTAAACCTCATATTTATTGATATATATATGCTTTATGACAGGATACCTACGGAGTTTCTTTCGCCTGTTTCTTCTCCGTTAGAGGAACCTCATTACAAAACGGTGGTAGATTTAAAAAATTACTTTCGATAAATGAAATGTATATTTCTTATTTCGATGAATAAATGATTTTGATTTTTTTAGACACCTGAATACAATCTCTTGAAAGTAAAATGCTTACCGGTGGTTCCTTTATTTGGTATGAAGAAGACTAAACTTTTTATTGAACTGCCACCACAGATACTCAAAACGGAGTCTGGTCCTGGCATATTACTAAAGATTAATGTAGCTTGGCTACTGATAAAAAGTGGTCGCAGGATATGTTTCGGCAAAAGGTAACAAACTTTGAGGAAGTAATGATTAACCTGCAATATAAAATTTTTGTTACTGGATGAACCGTTTCATCGTCATATAAAGACAAATATCAGATTGTTATAGCCGTACTACCCAGATATATTTTTTTTTACTTATAAAAAGTACTAGCTTCCTTATGTTTGTATTCATAGAGTTTAAAAACTAGCCGATGGATTGACTTGATATCCGTTCACAACATAGCTACTGAACAGGACTGTTATTAGACGTTTTTGTATAATTTTAATTTCGATTTCCGAATTTCCAACGATAATAAAAAATACATACAGTCAACATACAATACATACAGATAAAGAACCTCCTCCTTTTTCGAAGTCGGATAAAAAGGAAAACGCGGTTGTGTTCAAAAAGTTGTAAATTAATATTTTTGTGTAAAAAAATACAATAATATATTTCTAAGTCCTTTCACATATAATTGAAATAGGTACATATTTAATGAAACTTTGCTACTAGCCCTTACCATCGGGTCAACGCTCTTACGGACCAGCTTGCATCGATTTCTGATTTCTTTGATTGGCCTTTTTTCCTTGGTCGGCAGATCCAAGATTGTTACTGTAAAATTGTTTTGTAGCCTGAACTCATTTTCCGGTTTAGGTAACCTTATAGGTAAAATGACTGCTACATCCTCAGGGATATGGTCCATTGTCTGTCGAAGCAAAGTTAAAAACCAAAATAGGAAAATCATTATACCTACTCGAGAAATACTGATTACCCAAAATAAGTACCTTTTCAAAATAATTTCTTAGACCGCTGGATAGCGATGTCGCTAAGACGTCCGAAAAAGTCAATTCCTTGTTATATTGTTTTATATCTTTAATCATCTGAAATAAATCGTCTTCGGGATCCGTCCATTTGAATACTTTCCTACCGTTCAAAGTCGGACCATGTAGAGAATGTTCGTCGGGTTTCCTTAAGATGCCATCGACAAAACAGATGGGCACCGAACATAACTGTTCCAATGTGTCCAATAAACTAGTTGCCGGCTTACGTTTCTCGGCGCTGTGGCTCCCGGGTACGGAGAATAAATTCCTAGGTTCATTATCGACTTTGTCGGCTAGTGCGTGGCACAAAAACTCAATCAACGCAACCCCGTCTCCTACTGCATGATCAATTCTAAAGAGTATACCGTAATCGTGATCAGCCTTCGACTTGCAATTTCTGATGTTTTGTTTAGTGACAAGAATTTGAAAAAGGGCTTCGTTATTAAATGGCAAAGGCCGGTTGCATACGTCTGCCATCATTCCCTCCAATTCTAATCTGGAAATGTCTTGTGAGTTCCTAACATCTAAGACTTTCACGTACTCATCTATATCGATATTTTTGTATTTCCTCCAGTAATACCATCCGTACTTCTCATGCCGTCTATAAAACATTTTATTACAACTCTCATTGCAAACGACTACTCTAAGTTTCCCTTTTATCTTATCAACTAAAATTTCTGAAGAACATGCTTCAACTATACCCAAAACGTGTATAATATTTCTAAAATTACCATCCTCCAAACTCCAAAACACGTCGAAACCATCGAGAAATGCCTCGAAGTTTTTATCATTATTTCGTATAATATAATAACACAGTACTTTATATAGCAATGCTAATAATGTAAGTGCAATTATTAACGGTGAAAAGGATAATAAAACGGCTAATACTATAGCCCTCGATAAAGTTTTTGATTTTATAATTCTGTGAAATATTGCATAAACATTGAATTCCTGCAAGAAAAAGCTGTATTATACTATCATCATTATCATTAATGACAATATTTAAATATAGTAACAATAATCAGATAAATTTAAGGAAACTACTTATTTTTTGTAGCTATTAAATCATTGGTTTAATGTTCTATGCGTGATGGTGGAGGCTTGTTTTGCACAGCATTGTTTCCGGGTTCGGATGCTATTGTCAGTGATGGCGCAACAGATAAGTGATCTAACGGATAAGAGAACTAGGACAGCTGTTATACAAATATACAACTATTTACGTTACAAAGTTGTCATTGTCAGCGTACAATAAAATACCATAATATAAAAGTGGCCTATATAAAGCCGTATGTAAAAATATTTACATATGCTTATCGCTTTATAAACTTAGATTGTAAAAATTTAATTTGTACAAAATTTCGTACGTATCTAGTCCTGCAAATATTACTGGAAAGAGTTTTTTTTTTTTTTAATGTTCTATTTTCAGACAATTTTCTATTTATCTAACACCACTAGTAAGCCTGCAAGACAGAAAACTATCTCTTGCTTATAGGGTTAAGAACAAAAGACAACGGAATGATAAATAACCAGTTTTACATAAAGTTCTATTAAACACTACCCGAAAATAAGTTGGGTCAATACATTGATTTACATTGATTTGATACACTTAAAATTAAACCATGTGTGTAACCGTAAACTGATGGAAAGGAAAGGTTCTCGAGTGGCAACCCCATATTTGCCATCGTAGTGTAGGATGAGCCCCACTGGATGGATCTGTGCAAATGTGCAGGAAGTCGATGGATGCAGGTGGCTCATGGTTGTGTTTCATGGCAGTCTGTGGCCTATGTCAGCAGTGGACTAAAACAGGCTGTAATGATAAAACTATACTCATTTTTCTATTTAAAAGAACGAAGTAATTTCACATTCTTATGAAGATACATAATATGGGGAGGCCTATGAAACTGAAAGTTTTGCGTCTGATGGTGGTAATGATGAATATAATATCTGAAATTAAAATCATGATGTCTATTTCAAGCTACCATTATAATTTCCTCTATCAGCTTAAACATTCCATCAACGTATTCTGGTCTAACGATTCAGCTTAGAAATATACATTATTTCTTTCAACAGTTCCTAGACCAGGAAATTGATTCAGCGAATAAATTATGTGGCTTGCCGCTTAACATCAAACAAGATCCCAGTGTTCTCTCTATCTCTCTCATTCTTACCTCTATATTTATTGCCGCGAACAGCATCGCAGCAATGACCACTCCGATTACCGTTGCCTGGTCATCTGTGGCTGCGATTCGCGAATTAACAAGCGAAACGTTGGAGTGAATGAAAGCAAAGTCTTGCGGTGCCAAACTGTATTTTGGATGTTCAGCTCGCCCCGAACAATTCACCAAAATATTCGCACCAGCACCCTCCACGTCGCTGTCGTTGCGAAACATTTTGTCTGCCTAACAAGCAGACTGGGAACTAACTGAGGGAAAGTGCTGAGGCTCGTGAGGAATTCTCGAAATCCCATTACTGTAATCCTGTCTTATATTTTTATCTAATTAACCGGTTCGACTAAAACGTCTTATGTAATTAACGCATAAGTCGCATACCATAGCTATTTATATCGTAAGATGTGCTTTCAAGCGAGTATTTAACATAAGTATTTGCCCTTTTCCTTCCATTCTGCAAGGTTATTCGGATGTTTGTTAAAGGTTATTTTAATTTATTATGATAAAAAGGCTTTTAATACAGCAGCTAATTACGTAACGCAGTAAGGGAGTGGTATGATTTCAACCTGCAGGATTTTTTAATGAAGGGAATTATAAGAGTTAACTATGTGGTAGGGCTTTGCAACAGCTTCTGCTATTGCATGAATGGGCACGAATACTACGGCCTCACGCAAGACTGGTGTTAAGTGGAAGTATTAAACTTGCGTGTTTCGTCAAGACTGGTGTGAAGTATTAAACTTGCGTATTTCCTCTGGTAAGCGGGTTAACCGGGGTCCACTTTGTTAGAAGATTTTCAAAACATCAACGATCGATGAAACAAAACTACTTTGTTGGTATGGTAATCAGCTTAGTGGTTAAAGCGTCTGGACGCGAATCCCTAAGACGTGGTTTCGATTCACATAGTGGCGAAAACCTTATAATGCTATTTTTTTACACATTTTAAGGTATATATATAATTATATAATTAAAATGCAAGGTTAAAAAAATATTTCGACTTATTTGAACCATAGTTATTATATTCGTCGTCCGTCGTTAGCATATTGTTATCACAACGTGAATGTGACGACCATGGTACCTGAGTGGAATTTAAAATTTTACTAAATTTACATATAAATGTTACGTTTCTCCTGCGCCCATGCACAGGACATGGAGGCCGTGACTCTCATTCTCATTCTCTATTCCGTGGTCCTGCCACCCTATTCTTGCGTCACTGATCATATTAACTCATTGATGATTATTAATCGTCCGGAGCCACAGGTGATAGCTGGTATTATTTCAAGTTTTCGTCTCAGAACTATTTTGTTTAGCTTTGAAATAACATAAAATCTTATGTCAACTCACTTTTAGCGAACACGATGGTAAATAAAATGCAAGGTAAGTATGATTGTATATTATTAAATATGTTGCTTTAATTAAGTTCTTCTTACATACGTATAAATTTTTCCTCTTCAATATTACTTATTATAATTTAATGTTATGTAATATTGAAGAAGAAATTTCGGCATAAATATATTTATATACAAAAACCTTATATCTTAGTATAAATTACAAATGTAAAAAAGACTCAAAGACACGCTTATTCAAATAGTTAAAATTTACTGTATCTTCTCGCTCTTCTGCCTTTTGATGAAGCATAAAACATTGATCCATATGAAAGAGGCAGAAGCCACGTACACGACCCGCAAGTGGGAAGGCACGAAGAAGAAATTCACCGTCTGCCCGGGAATCCAAAACGCTTGGTTCGCGGCAAAAGTCTTCCAGTATTTCTCCCTTAGCTCCCCAAAGATATCTTCCCTGCGCTCTGCTACAGCCATTACTGCAAGTTAACGGCGCAAAAATTAATGTATAACGAGAATGGAATCAAATTATTTCGGTATTGACGAGTTGCTGTGTTACTAGACAGTAACTTGGAGTATTTCGGTCGGTAACTACGTTGTAAGTAGTTAGTGTCGCTGATATTGGTGACTTTTTATTTTTCCTGCCCTTATTATATCTAGATAGGGTCTTATTATATCTCTGAATCATAGTTAAAGGTATTGGTTAGTAGTAGTAATGTAGGTTTTCACCGAGTTTTTCACCTAGATCCGGACCAATTATCTGTGGGTCATGCAAATACTCGTTCCGTGTGGGAGTTGAACCCACGACCCCCGACGCCGAAACCAACATCTTAGCAACTGCGCCACCGATTCACATGTTGTTTTAAATATTAAATAAACGTATTTTAGTTATAGTCTTAAATCTAAGAAGATAATAGAATGTGGAGTCGACAGACAAACTCACAGGTGTAGAACGCGCCAAGCAATATTGGCGTCATGATGAATTGGTCGCTCGCCACTTTGGATACCACTACCTTGACGGACGTTCCCACAAATTTCCTATCCAGAAATCTGTACCTGATGAACAAATGTAAACAACTTGAATATACAATAAATTTATCGAGTCAGAGCTACGCAACAGTTTCAACAATGGACAAATTCGGTTTAAAACTAATCCAAAGGAATATAAACAAGGTTTGTCAAACAATTTTCGCCCGTTACTTGTTAACTTCCACATATACGTAGTGGTAAAAACGATCAAAAGGCAAGTTTGAATAAGTTGTTACTGAGCTAGTGGGTTTACCATCTAACATTACGTCTTGCCATCAGGTGACATGGTAGTCAAGTACTAGCTGGTTTTTGGGTAAAAAAAGAACAATACAACGTGGTTCGCTCTCGCCTACAAGCTCAGCGTAAACAATTCACCGCAAAGTCTAAATACACCTGTGTTCTGTGCAGTTTTCAGCACTCCCAACTCGCTGGCCAATGTTCGACCCCCACAATAGGGAGTGACTACCTGTGCAAATGTACGGGAAGTCGATGGGTGCAAGTAGCTCAGGGTCGTACTTCGGGGCAGTTTGCGAAGAGTAACGTCCGATAAAAGAAGACCCGGTCACAATAAGTAACAACTTAGAACTATAACTAACACCCACATAGTACACAACCGAGTGATTAAACTGTAATTGCCTTTCCTTCTCGGATGATTTGTTCATAAACAACGATACTAGTCATGGCGGCTGCATGTCATGCGCCACCAGTTAAATGTGGAAGCACTTAGCTCAGTTAACTATGTTAGTGTTATTAGTTGTATATTATGATAAGCTCGCTCTTGATGAAAGCACCACGCTTTTTATTTTCGCATTTTCTTGTCTTTTTAATTACACCTCATGAGACGAATATTTAGGTATACATTTGGATTCATTTTAAATTCAAATGACGTTCGAGACACGCACTCATGGTTTGCAACTATTCGTTCCGTATCGTTCAGTGTTTGAAAAATTTAAATAGTAGATAGGTATATGATAATGCACCAATGGGCAAACTCGTCCGAGGAAGTACCAGGGTCTCACAAAATAGCGCTACGAAGTGGATGTATTCAGTATTCTACTGTTGCGTGTCGCCTAGTGTGTGAGATACCAGTTACCTCACTCCCTAGGCACGCACTTTCTTTATTGTCGATAGCATATAGAGAAATCCAATAGTCGTTATAGTTTTCTAGTGGCGGAGGTAATTAACTCTCTTCCCATTAAATAGTCTTCACATACCAAAAATACAGGGTAGGTGCGTATAAACAACTGCCGATGGTGACGATGCGAGCCGCCGCCGCTAGGTCTAGTGCCGGCCTTTTAGGCTAAAATAAAAATAATCCATGTCAAAACATACAATTATATCTTGAATATCTTAATATATGACCCATTGGCACTAACATTTAAAGAGATGTAGTATACTATATTTACAAATTATCATCACAAGGTTAAAAAAAACTCATACTGTTCTACTATTTCGTAATCATCGACATGGGTAGCGTGGCCGAGCGGTCTAAGGCGCTGGTTTAAGGCACCAGTCTCTTCGGAGGCGTGGGTTCGAATCCCACCGCTGCCAGTAATTTTTGCTCTTGAATATTGCTTATATTTTTTGTGTGCTTTGTACTTATAAGTTAACTATATGTTTACTATATGTTTTAATATAAATTGTTGTTGAACTGAAAATTTTTTGAAAATATTTTACATATTGCATTATTGAGTTTTTTAACATAAAAAAAATTATAAGTAATGAAATTTTATTTTCATTATTTTAGATCACAAACTCACAATGTATTCACACAATTCACACTGTACATTAACCTATGATTCTTATTTATGGAACTTTTCTCCTAGATGGCGCTGTAATCATTGTTTCGCTTAATTTATCAGTCTATAAATATTATAAAATTATATTATGCATTTATAGATAAGTTGGATAGACTGGTACAATGTAATAATTCAATATATCATTCTCTTAAACATTGACCTCCATGTCCTCATGGATAGATAATTATTTCCTTCTAAATAATTATTCTATCTTTGGATAATTGTTATATAGCTAGGTTAGTCCATGCATACCACAAAAATACGAAGTAACAACTATTAATACAATGGCAAATTTCTTTAGAAAACATCTTTAAACAATACTTCCATCTAGTACGAAGTCATACCGATTTGAATTTGTTGAATGTTTGCTGCGAGAGCTCAGCCGCCGTGTAAAAGGCGGCATACACGATGGTGTTGGTGACCACCGGCCGCCGCTTCAGCGCCACCTGGCCCCAGCTGACGACCCTCGACAACATTGTTCCTGTGTAAAAGGTCGATGTTTACCGTACCAACAAAATAACAGTGCCCCATAAATTGAGGTTTCATTTCATGCGTCTACTTTTTTCATACTTCAACTAAGTATAATAAATTAATTCAATTACATTTTGCGACAATGTATTCACTATGAATACAATCAACCGTGGCAAGCTCTGACTGTTCGAAATTGAAAAAAAAAATTAAAGTCACGAAGTTCAAATGTGTTGTTAAATGGCACGCACTAAACTTACCGCATAAATGTCAACTAATACGCAAAGTTAATTATTTCACACTTAATAGACAATGAAAGAGATGTAAGTTGTTTCGTTACAATTCAAAAAAGATAACGAAGTAGAAAAATTCACAGACGTGACACTTGTGAAAACTTTGAAACTGAAACTTTCAATTAAAAAATTAGAACGAATCAAAATAAAAATTCGATATGAACAAAACAAAACCGCCTAGCACCAAAACTGTGTCGTTTCGCACTACGGCTTCAACACACGGCTCTGTCAATTGACTTCAATAGAATAATTTAAATACTCGAGGGCCGCGGACGCGTTCCGAACGTACACTATATCCGTTCGACTACAATAAAAGACAAATATCCAATAGATTTTTACCTGCAATAAGTGTATGTGTATCATAGCGAACACTTTGACACAACAAATACTGTATGTATTACGCTTAGTACTGAGACATGTGTTGGAATTCTATTGGCGTTCTCTAATAAGTTTTCCGATCTACGGATTTCGTATATCCAAAAGTCAATGTCTCCTGCCGTGACGGGAGACTTTGACGCACATTATATACTTATTTTTCTTTCCAAAACTAAACACGTTAACGAGTGTTACGTTTTGAAATAAAATAAGCTCTGAAGTGTGGGTGTATTAACCATATATTTTGACTCTAAAGGGTAAGATTGACAGAGATAGGTACCTAAATTTTTACTCGTCACAACACACGGGAACACAATTTTTTTGAGACATTATAACTTTTAAAATGCATAATCTGCATTAGAACTATCGTCGTCAAATTTCCGAATTAAATGTTTGCAAAAATACCGCTCCTTATCTGGAATTTAACAAAAATAATACGCTAGTTTTGCAGTGGTCAATAAGAAATGTCCGGCTTTGGTCTGAAGGTCTCTCAGAGAAGGGGACCCCTCGTAGCATCGTACTAATCAATTTCCGCCAACTCAAGCAACGTTGGTACAGATTTAACCTTTAAATTTATCTAATCCACTATCGAATTCATGGGTGTTATAGAAATCCGCGAATTTTATTCTATGCGGTCTCATCTTTTTACTTAGAAAAAATCAAAACTAATGTAAAACGCTTTAGAATCCAAAGAAAGTTAATAAACATGAAATGAATATTTTCATAGTTCATTAACAAATATGCGTTAAAATTTTCTAGTATGTACACTTTCACATTTATTGTTTACAATATTTTGTTAGAATTATAGGCATATCTTAGGGTTATGCACCTTTTTATACTTCACTGTAGAATCTATACAGCGAAATATAAATATTCTTTACGTGTATCCACGATTACACATGAAGAATTCGGCTAAATCATCATTTTATCGTGAAATTTACGGTTAAAATATATACCCATTTATATTAGTCACGTAGTGAATTGAATCATTGTGTTTGATTCACTGAATTACTTGATAACTTGTCTCAATACCGTTACGTACACCCAGTTTCTCAAAGACTAATCATTGTAGAAGTCAACTAATCAGATGGCTTTTCAAATATTAATTGATTTGCCAAAAGGATTGTTAAACTCTTTAATTTGAACATTCTGATCATTAAGAAATTCTTTCTGAAATTTGAGTAGACAAATTGATATGAAATAGTTTAAATTATTTATTCGGTGGTAGGGCCACGCAGCAGCTTCGGCTGTTGCACGAATGGGCAGGTTCGTCCGGGTAAGTACCACGACCTCACAGAAGACCAGCGTAAAGTGGAAGTATGACAAATACTTTCGCGTTTCGTCTGGTGAGGGAGGTGGCTGGAGCCCAATTTTCAAAAAGGTTGTCAACGCATCTGCAAACCCTCGGGTGTAGCAGACATCCATGGGCATTAACATCAGGTGAACCGTCTGCTCGCGTGGCAATTTTTGACATAAAAAAAAATTTGAAGAAAATTTTTTAAGATCTAACAGATATACTTTTGAGAGCACACAACTTGCACGTAGATCCACAATTATCGTAAGTTGGTAGTGTAAAGCTAGGTTCGTTCGAGGAGGTAAGCACATAGTAATAGTAATGTTTAAAAACAATACGATACCATAAAAATATAGCCAAAAGAATAAGTTACGACTAGCGATTTTTATAAGTTCAGTCTGACCCTATATAGGTAATGCCGTGAAGTTTAGCTAGGTTCTAAATCGCAATCGTTGTCTGTGACATTCAAAGAATAACTTTTCGTAGCGGAGATAATATGAAAATAATTAAAACTGGTAAGTGTGTTCTTTCTTCATGAATACATTATCATTAATAGCATAATATTATTAATTATTTACTCTAGAGATGATCAATTTTAATTGTAAAGACTAATAGAGTTTAAATATCTACCATATTTTTTTTCATTTACCTCGCAGTCTATCGATCAAAAACGTTAAAAATCTCTTCTTTGCGCTGAATCCGTCACTAATTTATCTAGTCCAATTGTAAAAAAGCCAAGAATTCTTTGAAAAAATAATCCAACTAAATGAAGTTGAGATGTACTTTTTTACTTTATTTTTACTTATGTTTGTTAGTAATTAAAGTATAATAAATAAGACATTCCCCAATTGTCTTTAAATAATATTTATTACGATTAATTTATGGTTTTATGCAAAACGTATACAGTACAAAAAAACACGCCTTATTGACATAAACGGGTATGATAAACAAGTACAATCTTAAAATCAAATAGTTACTTTAATTTATTATGATACGAGCCAAGCAAAAACCCGTGCATAACAATATATACAAATAAATAATTTACTTATACGTCTTGGTGTTACGTCAACATTCGAAGTGAAATACTTACAGGTCGAAATATTAGAAGTTGACGTTCCTATTTTCCCACACACTATGAATAAGGGACAGACTGCAAAATATTTTTATAATAAAATGCTTCGTTAGATAAGGCATACGTTTCATATCAATAATGACCATACTGATAAAAAATCTTCGTCACGCTTTCAATGTTTCATTTCCGAATAGGATTTCACTTTATTTGATCAATTTTATGTCATTGCGCTTGAAGTACCACGTTTTGGTTAATGTCAAGATGTGTTATATGTGTTGTATGGATGATACATATACAAAAATGTTAGGAGCACATCATATGTTTTTTTTTTAATATTTTTGCTTTAGGAACGAAATTCTACAATTGTTACGCATATCTGAAGTGAGATAACATTTATGGTTTAACATTGACCTGAGGCTGCCCATTGGTCGCACTTTGACTGTTATTCACTAAATTTCACATATATGTAATAATGATACATTTACCATTTCTTGAGGACAATCTTTACCCTGCGCTGCTATGTATTTGACATTTACGGTGTGAATGTAAATAATTTTTGCTTATAAAAAAAGTTCTTTAATCTTTTGATGTCGAAATTGTATTTGAAATCGGAGAAGATTTTTAAATAGGTATAGTATTAAAAATTTTAGTTAGCCAAAACCCGATAATTAGTATTTGCGATTTGTGCTTACTACCTACGATTTCATTCATTGGTAACTTTTATAAATAAACCTATTATATTAACATACTACCTAATGGCAGTAATGATGGCTCTACGTTGGACTTGCGATATATGGGTTTTCGTGGAATCTAGTCCCATGGAAAAGCAAAAAAAAAATACGGTTTATATTTATTTACTAAAACTGATCACGCAATTGTGTATGTATAGTTACAGTGAACGGCTCACCGCTTGTTAGGTAAGAAATGGATGACACGTATCTAGTATTAGCTGTCTCTACCTATTTCATATTTTCCTACCTAACTTTTTATTTGCAATATTGTCACATTAGCAATATTGTCTAAAATAATAAAATGTTAAAAGTAGTAATTAGGCAAGTAATATAATTGAGTATTTGTCACTCAATGTAGAAAACAGAGTGCAGCATTTCTCTCTCTTTCAAGCTATAAATCCCACATGGTAGCTCGTGGTCGTTTATTATTTTTCTTCTCCGCCTTGCTCTATCGTCAGCCACTTGACACTCTATCATGTCTTTTAGCACCGGACCTTTGCCCAGGCTCAAAAAATCACTGAGTGAATGCAGCACCATTAACCTTAATTCCATTGCTGAAAAGCGACATCTACTGAAATACACTGACACTAGTTAAAACCTCTTAAAGGTGACACTAGATGTCATTGCGATAAATTATTTTTTTACATCTTTATTGTCTATGTAAATACTGCTACTAACTTTTGCTATATTATTAAAGCAATTTTTTTAAATACTCTTGCATAAAAGAAGCTTTTTCTGTAGTAGGGCCACGCAGCTGCTCTGCTATTGCACGAATGGGCAGTCCTGTCCGGGGAACTGCAACAGCCGCACAGATGGCGGGTGTGAAGTAAACGGATTATACTTTTGTGAGGTAAGTAACTGGATCCAATTGTAAAAGATGGCGACGCTTCTGCTTCTAAATATCAGGTGAACCGCCAGAGCGCTTGCCACTTTCTCACATAAAAAAAATGTTCCATATACTAAACTGTATTGCAGTAGGTATAGGCCATAAATTTCACCGTAATTTAAAGACTTGAGTACACAAGTAATACACATAACAAGTAGTACACTTATCATATAATCCTTTTAAGACATCCAGTATTTTCTTAACGTATTGTAAGTTAACAAGTCCTCTAACGTTATCTTCTAAGTTCACGTCTATAACAACTTTCACTTTATGTAACGTATCTTTTTTGAGTTATGTTATATCACTGCAAGACACGTCTTGCCGTGCAGTGGCGGCAAAAAGGTCTCATCCCAATGT